TTTTCTTTTCTTTTCTTTCTGTCTGTCTGTCTTTCTGTCTTTTTTTTTCTTTCCCTCCCTTCCACCTTCCTTCCTCTTTTCTTCTTTTCTTCCTTTCTTCCTTCCCTCCCTCCTTCTTTCCTTCCTTCCTTCCTTCCTTCCTTCCTTCCTTCCTTCCTTCCTTCCTTCCTTCCTTCCTTCCTTCCTTTTGCTTTGGAAAATAGTAGGTTGACCCCTCCTCTCTGGGGCAGCCCCTCAAATATTGGAAGACTGTTATCCTGTCTCCCCTGGTCCTTCTCTTCACTAGACTAGCCATGCCCAGTTCCTGCAACCGTTCATTGTATGTTTTAGCCTCCAGTCCCCTCGTCGTCTTGGTTGCATCTGCAACCATCTGCAAGATCTCTGCAAAAAAAACACAAAGCTCAGAGAGCACCAAGTCTTCCTCCTCCTCCCCCTCCTCTCCTCCCCCTCCTCCTCTTCACAAATCCCACTCCCTTCTAGCACTGATGATGTTACCTAGTTAGGTCATGAAACGCCTGCCAGAAAACAAGCAAGCTCAGAGAGCAGCCTCATTTCAACCCTGAGCTCCAAGTACTCTCCTTGATAAGGGATGTTCTGCCTTCTGCACGCGTCCCTCCAGATGAGAATCTAAAAGCTTTGGAAGTTTTCCCTCCTTTTGTTCCCAGCAGAGAATGGCAGGAAATGAGCAATTAAAGCAGAATTAATGGGGTTGGAATCCATCCTGAGATGCGAATGCTTGCAGCAAGCGATGCCTCTTGACCACTCAAGTTCCTTTTGTCTTCTAATGCTTCCTTGCTGCCTTCTACTCATCCAACTGGATACCCTCCAAACTCGGTCCAGGTAGTCCTCAACTTACGACCGCAGTGGAGCTCGAAATTCCCCTTGCTAAGCGGAGACAAGAAGGGACGCAGTGGCTAAGATGCTGAGCTTGTCGATCGAAAGGTCGGCAGTTCGGCGGTTCGAGTCCCTGGTGCCTTGTAACGGGGTGAGCTCCCGTGACTTGTCCCAGCTTCTGCCAACCTAGCAGTTCGAAAGCAGGTAAAAAATGCAAGTAGAAAAATAGGGACCACCTTTGGTGGGAAGGGAACAGCGTTCCGTGCGCCTTTGGCGTTGAGTCATGCCGGCCACACGACCACGGAGACGTCTTCGGACAGCGCTGGCTCTTCGGCTTTGAAACGGAGATGAGAACCCCCCCCTAGAGTCGGGAACGACTAGCACATATGTGCGAGGGGAACCTTTACCTTTATGCTGCATCCCGAGTATGGAACGTGGCCTTAATTCCAGCCGACACAAATCTTGACTTTTGAAGTCGCCCTCCTACGTCTAGGATCGCTAGCATGATCGCCAACGTCCAATGACGGAGGGAAAGAAAGCCCCTTTGGGACAACCATGACCTGAAGGACTGAGAATTCTCCATAGACACTAAGCGGAGACCGTTGTTAAGTGAGTTTCGCCCCGTTACGCGGCCTTGCTCGCCACCGTTGTTAAGTGAATCAGTGCAGTTGGTTAAGGCAGTGACACAGTGGCTAAGTGAATCAGGCTTCTTCCCTGTTGACATTGCTTGTCAGACGGTCGCAAAAGGGGACACTGCAACCGTCATAAAAACGTGTCAATTGCTAAGAATCTGAGTTTTGATCACCTGATCATGGGGTTGCTGCAACAGTCGTTAAGTGTGAAAAACGGTCATAAGGTTTTTTTGTTTTTTTTCAGGCACTGAAATAATAATCTAAATAAAATAATTGTCCCCACTGTCAGGAAATTCCTCCTTAGTTCCAGGTTGCTTCTCTCCTTGATGAGTTTCCACCCGTTGCTTCTTCTCCTGCCTTCAGGGGCTTTGGAGAACAAGTCGACCCCCTCCGCTCTGTGGCAGCCCCTCAAGTACTGGAGGACCCTCACCCCTTTTAAGCAGCAGCCTTTCTCCCACTCAATTTAAAAAAAAAAAAAACATTGCTCAACTCAATTGACCTATTGGAAGATAATGGCATGTAGAATTGTCCTATACGTTTTAATATTGCATTATTCTTCCCTTGTGAAGCTTTATAATAAATTTACAATGCCTTGGTAAGGCCACACTTGGAATCCTGCATTCGGTTTTTTGGTCTCCATGGTGTAAAAAAGATGTGGAGACTCTGGAAAGAGTGCAGAGAAGAGCAGCAAAGAGGATTAGGGGGCTGGAGGCTCTAAAACATATGAAGAACGGTTGCAGGAACTCAGTATGTCTAGTATAATGAAAAGAAGGACTATTTTTTATTTTTATTTATTTGTATTTATTTAAATTTCTATACCGCCCTACTCCCGAAGGACTCAGGGCGGTGAACAGCCACAGGATAAAACACATAAATACAAAAATTTAAAATAGAATAAAAACGGATTAAATAATTTACTAGGGGTGAGATGATAGCAGTCTTCCAGTATCTCAGGGGCTGCCCCAAAGAAGAGGGAGTCAAGCTATTCTCCAAAGCACCTGAGGGCAGGACAAGAAGCAATGGGTGGAAACTCATCAAGGAGAGAAGCAACCTAGAACGAAGGAGAAATTTCCTAACAGTGAGAACAATTAACCAGTGGAACTACTTGCCACCAGAAGTTGTGAATGCTCCAAGACTGGAAGTTTTTAAGAAGATGTTGGATAACCATTTGTCTGAAGTAGTATAGGCTTTCCTGCCTAATCAGGGGGTTGGACTAGAAGACCTCCAAGGTCCCTTCCAACTCTTATTATTCTATTCTAAGCTACTGCCTAGTTAAGTGGCAGTTTCTGCATCAGCTTCTTCTAGCCAAGGAAAGATCCAATGAAGAACTAAGGAGAAATTTCCTGAGAGAGAGAGAGAGAGAGAGAGAGAGAGAGAGAGAGAGAGAGAGAGAGAGAGAGAGAGAAATTAACCTGTGGAACAGCTTGCCACAAGATCTTGTGGGTGCTCCATCTCGGGAGGTTTTCAAGAAGAGGCTGAACAGCCCTTTGTCTGAAATGATATAGCGTCTCTTGGTTGAGCAGGGGGTTGGACTAGAAGACCTCCAAGGTCCCTTCCATCTCTGTCATTCGGCCAACCTCCATCTTCCAAGCTTCCTTCTTTCCTTTCCCTGCCAGGCACGCCTGATTGCCATGCAGCCGCACCTGCGTCCTTTATTTTACCTCAGAGTTGGGGTCCGACACCCCCGATTCGAAAAGAGATGGATCCCCTACCATTTAATTCTGAATTGGGATGGATGGATGGATGGTCATTGTTTATTATTATTTAATAGACCGCATGGTGCAAAACCTTCATATGAAAATAATTTGCTTATTTGATTCCGCCGTAGGTGAAATGTTATTATAGGAAATAAGTTTTATAAGGTAAGAATATCACAACCTGATTTTGCTTTTTAATCTTTGCTGATTTCCGTGTGACTAGCAGGTATAGAGAATAAGAATTGGAATTGGAATTGGAATGGAATGGAATAGAATTCAGAACAGAACAGAACAGAACAGAATAGAATAGAATGTATAAAATAGAATAGAATATAGAAAACGATTAGGATAGGATAGAATAGAATAGAATAGAATTCAGAATATAGAATAGAATGGAATGGAATGTATAAAATAGAATACAATATAGAAAATGATAGGATAGAATAGAATTCAGAAAATAGAATAGAATAGAATAGAATAGAATAGAATAGAATAGAATAGAATGTATAAAATAGAATAGAATATAGAAAACGATTAGGATAGGATAGAATAGAATTCAGAATATAGAATAGAATGGAATGGAATATATAAAATAGAATAGAATATAGAAAATGATAGGATAAAATAGAATTCAGAATATAGAATAGAATAGAATGTATAAAATAGAATAGAATATAGAAAACGATTAGGATAGGATAGGATAGAATAGAATTCAGAATATAGAATAGAATAGAATAGAATGTATAAAATAGAATAGAATATAGAAATGATTAGGATAGGATAGAATAGAATAGAATGTATAAAATAGAATAGAATATCGAAAACGATTAGGATAGGATAGAATAGAATTCAGAATATAGAATAGAATGGAATGGAATTATAAAATAGAATAGAATATAGAAAATGATAGGATAAAATAGAATTCAGAATATAGAATAGAATAGAATGTATAAAATAGAATAGAATATAGAAAACGATTAGGATAGGATAGGATAGAATAGAATTCAGAATATAGAATAGAATAGAATAGAATGTATAAAATAGAATAGAATATAGAAATGATTAGGATAGGATAGAATAGAATAGAATGTATAAAATAGAATAGAATATAGAAATGATTAGGATAGGATAGAATAGAATAGAATTCAGAATATAGAATAGAATAGAATAGAATGTATAAAATAGAATAGAATATAGAAATGATTAGGATAGGATAGAATAGAATAGAATGTATAAAATAGAATAGAATATAGAAATGATTAGGATAGGATAGAAAGAATAGAATTCAGAATATAGAATAGAATAGAATAGAATGTATAAAATAGAATAGAATATAGAAAATGATAGGATAAAATAGAATTCAGACTATAGAATAGAATAGAATAGAATAGAATATAGAAAATGATAGGATAGAAGAGAATTCAGAATATAGAATAGAATAGAATAGAATAGAATAGAATAGAATAGAATAGAATAGAATAGAATAGAATAGCTTTATTGTCACTTTGAATGTACACTAATCGGCATACATTCAAATGAAATTACATTGCATACAGATACTGAGAGCATTCAGTTGGCGGTGGGGGGAAGCGGATTGAATGCAGAATTTTGTCCCTTTCCAGATCTATTCTTTGGACCTTCGAGAAGCTGTTTTGTCTCACATTGGAGAACTGCGCTGGTTTCACTTAATATTGCAGATGGGTTTTTACAGGTCCACACCAATTTCATAGGTTCCCCAATTCCCCTCGCCGATTGAAGCCATCTCGCCTCATGTTACTGGGACACATCCTCTTTTTCCAAGTGCTGGGAGAATTGGACACTAAGGCTTACAAGCTCAGGAACGCGTTTCCTTTTTATGTTTTTCCTCCTTAATTCTTGTGCAAACAGAAATTGGATGAATCTCCGAGATGCAGAAACTGGGAAAATTCTCTGGCAAGGAACGGAAGATCTCTCCGTCCCCGGAGTAGAGCATGAAGGTAACACGGGGCTTCTGGGGCAGGGTTTCTCAACCTCCAGGAATATGGACTTCAACTCCCAGAGTTCCCTTTAAGATCTGTAGGCTTCTAGAATTCTCCAAGCAACCATGGCCGGCTCAGGAATTCTGGGAGTTGAAGTCCACAGGTCACAAAGTTGCCATAGATCAGGGCTGTCAAACTCGTGGCCCATGGGGGGGGGGGCGGATGCGTCACACACGGGCCACACCCCCGCCTGGTTTGGCGAAGGGGGAAAAAGTCCCGATACATCACGGGACGCTGCCATGACGCCGCGACTTTGACACCCCTGCCATTGTTCCTCCCCCTGTTCTAACCCCTTGAGCAGTGATGGCTTCAGCCGGTTCTGTCCGGTTTGGACAAACTGGTAGCACCGACTGCAGTAGGCTCTGCCCACCCGCCCAGACGTAATGCCGTCCTATTTAGCCACGTTTTGGAGGCCATGCACATACGCGGGAGGCACACGTGCGAGCAAAGTACATGCGCGGGAGGCCGAGCATAGATGGAGGGTGGCACTCACATTTGAGATCCGGTAGGGAAGGTAACCCTTGAGGCTGCAAAGATTCCCCCAATTGCAGCGGGAGCTGCATTAACTCCTCATCCTTGAGGAGCACCTGGAGGCTCCAACTGGCGCAGAGTGCGGCCGCGCGGGTGGTTATGGGAGCAACATGGCGCTCCCGTGTGACACCTCTCCTGCGCGAGCTGCACTGGCTCCCGGTGGTCTTCCGGGTGCGCTTCAAGGTCTTGGTTACCACCTTTAGAGCGCTCCATGGCTCAGGACCTGGTTATTTACGGGACCACCTTCTGCCACCAATTGCCTCCCACCGGCCGGTACGCTCTCATAGAGAGGGGCTCCTCCGGGTGCCGTCGGCCAAACAATGTCGACTGGCGGCCCCCAGGGGGAGGGCCTTCTCTGTGGGGGCACCCACTATCTGGAACGAGCTCCCCCCGGAGATACGGAGGATCCCTGATCTGCGCACTTTCCGCCGTGCTCTTAAGACCCTCCTATTCCTTTTCCTATTAACTTTTGTATTTATGCGTTTTATTCTGTGCCTGTTCACCGCCCTGAGTCCTTCGGGAGTAGGGCGGTATACAAATCTAATAAATGAATGAAATGAATGAATCTAGGGAGCGAAATAACTTAGTTATTAACTATCAGTTTAGTAGCCTCACACTGCAGTGAACAAGGACCTACAGGTAGTCCTCAGCTTACGACCACAATTGAGCCCCAAAATTTCTCTTGCTGTGTGAAACATTTGTTAAGTGAGCTTTGCCCCCATTTTACGACCTTTCTTGCCCCAGTTGCTAAGCGAATCGCTACAGTTGTTAAATTCGCAACCCGGTTGTTAAGGGAAACTGGTTTCCCCCTTGACTTGGCTTGTCAGAAGGTCGCAAAAGGGGATCACGTGACCCCTGGATTTGCCTCCGTCATAAATATGAGTCAGTTCGCCATTGAATTTTGATCACGTGACCATGGGGGAGGCTGCAATGGTTGTAAGTGTGAGTCATCCTTTTTTAGTGACGTCGTAACTTTGAATGGTCACTAAACGAACTACTCTCCTTTATTAAAAAGCAATTACGCCGGGATGAGTTAGCAGTAAAAGGAAACCTGTTGTTGCCCCAGAACATCAAAGCTGACACCAGCCAGAGCATAGGAAAACTCAAAGAAGTATCAAGATTGGAAGATGGGGAGAGATCCGGCCCAGAGAATCGCCAAGAGTTGATGTGCTTCAATGGATAACATCATCATCATCATCATCATCATCATCAATTGTTTTGTCGAGCCATTAATCTGGCTGTTGGCTCTTTTTTTTTTCACCCCAAGATCTGCTGTTAGGTCCCAGATCCCAAAGTCTTTATTATACCCATCGTTTTCTCCTGTGGGGAAAAAAAAATCATTTTGTTCGGTGGTGGGATTCAAATAATTTAACAACTGGTTCTCTGCCCAAATGACTGGCTGGGTGGGCGGGGCCATGGTGGGCGGGGCCAGGGGTGTGTGACAGGTAGCACTCGGCCTCCTGCACCCCCCTGGGAGCAAAAATGGGCCATGGGGGGTGCTGCCTCCCTGCACCCCGTTTTGGGCCTAGTAGGCCTCCCTGCAGCCTCCTGGGAGCAAAAACGGGCCACGGGGAGGGGGGCATGCCGCCCTCCCGCGCCCCGTTTTGGGCCTAGCAGGCCTCCCTTTACTTACCTGGGAGCCAAAACAGGGCGCGTGGGTACTCCTGGAAGGGATGAGGCAGGGAGGGGCAGAGCCAGCCAGCAATTTATATAAATATAAATGGAAAAATAAATAAAATGAATAAATAAATTTATCAACCAGTTTGCCCAAACCGGCTGAATCCCACCATTGATTTTGCTACCGTGCTGAATAATTTACAAGGCACGGATTCCTTCGCAGCCACGGCCTGGTTAAAAGGCTGAAAGCGTTAAAGCCAAGGGAGTCCATTTAGCCACGAAGATAATTCAACAAGACCTTTCATGTTTCCTTTGAGGGGAGGGATGCCTCAAAAGAGATTACCCCTTTTTAGTGGAAGGGTTATGAGATCCTTATGAAAACCGGATTTTCCTACCGTTGCTCTTTTCTTTTCCCGGCAAGAGTGAGACTTCCATTCAGGATGTCGCCCTTCAACACCCCACTTAAAAGGCCTGGCTACAGGTATCTAATTAACACACCCAACTGCCCACTGGGTAAAGGTAAAAGTAAAAGTTTCCCAGGTCAGTCGTATCTCGGCGGTAGTCTCATCCAGAGGTGGGTTTCATATAATTTTACCACCGGTTTGCCGCACACCGTGCATGGGGCCTTCCACGCAGGAGCTTTGCTCCCACATGGCTTAGAAAATGTGGCTAAATAGAATGGCATAATGCCTGGGCAGATGGGTGGCACCCACAGGTCTACACTACCAGTTCGCCTGAATCGGTCCGAACCGGCTGAATACCACCGTCGTCCCATCTCCATTTCCTAGCCAAGAGAGCCAGCATTGTCCACTCATTTCTGTGGTTATGTCGCCTATATAACTATACGCCAAGGCGCATAGAATGCTGTTACCTTCCTGCCGAAGTGGTACCTATTTATCTACTTGCGTTTGCATGCTTTTTTTTTTTTTTTTTTTGCTTCGAGTTTTTTATTTTATAACATATAAAAATTCCATTTTCAATTAAACAGTGTGTTGTCTGGGCACAAATAGTTTTAGGAAATAATAATCAAAATGTTTACAACAGTATTCATTACATTAATATTGATTATAATAATACCCTGTTTCCCCGAAAATAAGACATCCCCTGATAATAAGCCCAATAGAGCTTTTGAGCGTATGCGCTAAAATAAGCCCTCCCCGAAAATATGTAAATACAGAGCTGGAAATCAAATAAGACGGCAAGAGGAGCCCCATCTTGCTCCACGCACCCCAAAATAATAAGACCTCCCCGAAAATAAGGTCAAGTACTTATTTTGGGGTTCAAAACAATATAAGACAGGGTCTTATTTTCAGGAAAACACGGTAGTAATAATGTTTGCTTAACCATTTTAACATACCTTCCTTATATCATTGATCCTTTCCATATATTACCCTGTTTCTAGCTCCTGTTTTTGTCAGGTAACCATTGATAAAATAGGTCCTAGGTCATTTCCATGCTTTTGGGCAGGAGCTGGAGCAAGGAACGGGAACTCACCCGTTGCTTTGTGCTCGGGTCTCGAACCTTGACCGTCAGCTTTACAGCTAGCAAAATCAGGGTCTTTCACCACTGAGCCATCTCACCTCCTTTACTTTTGGACGGCGAGGTGGGCAGGAGCTAAAGCAAGGAACGGGAGCTCACCCCATCTCACAGCGCTCAGCTCTCGAACCCGGGACGTCAGTTTTCCTAGCTGAAAAGCTCAGCATGATAGTGGGGCTTAATACATTTTTTTCCACCCCCGACAAAATATTTTAAGCCTCATTGTCCGGCCGGCGGTTAGGTATGTATCGTGATGGCCATTAAAGGCGTCAAGTCTGCGAGGGTACAACTGCAACTGCCATCTTGATTTTTTTTATTTTTTTTGACCTACTCGTCAGGCACCCCGACCTAGCTGGGGAGGGGGCCCTTCCTGTTGCTTTCAACAGCAGACAAGCCCCTTGTTGGAAATAACTTTGCGTTTGGCACGTCTCTTCTAAGCCTGGACGCAGAATAAAAGATTTCGTGGAAAGTCTCCAAACCGTGTCATTCTTCCCCACGCACAAACACACATTTTTGAAAAGGTGCAGGGAACGGCCGCCCTGCGTCTCTACCATAATTATTTTAGCATTTTTAATCTGGATCCACGGGGGCTCGTCTTACACGCTGTTGGCTTTCTGACTTGCATAGGAGAACGGGTGAGCAGTTGCGTCATACGGCAAAAATTGCATTTTTTGCAATTTTTCAGAAGTGCCTCCTGGCTTACGCATTATTCGGAATATTAATTTCTACTAACAATCCACCCCTTCTTCTTTCTCTCTTCTCTTTTTCTCAGCTCGAGTTCCTAAGAAGATTCTGAAATGCAAGGCTGTCTCCCGGGAGCTCAATTTTTCCTCCACGGAGCAGATGGAAAAATTCCGCCTGGAACAGAAAGTTTATTTCAAGGGACAATGTCTAGAAGGTGCAATTTTATTCTCCTAGGGGGATCTGGGCTGTGTTTTCACAAGGAGGAGGAAAGAGAGAGAGGGGGGAGAGAGAGAGAGAGACAGGCAGGCAGCAGGAAGAATTAACATTTTTTTGCCCTATCAGCACCAATAATAAATAAGGCTTATTTAGCCTCTGGCATCTACAGAGGTCATTGATATACAAATTTAGTTTAAATAAAGTGTCAGCAAATGTGTGCATGTATGTATATGTGTGTGTGTATGTTTATTTGCTGACGCTTTATTTAAACTAAATTTATTCTAGGGAGATTTGGGTATGGGCTGGGTATACATGTATGTACCATATTTTTCAGAGTATAAGACGCACCTTTTTCCCCCCTAAAAGGGGGTGAAAATTTAGGTGCGTTTTATACACTGAATGTAGCCCCACCCACCCACTGGCCCCCACCCTTTGGCCTCTGCCTCCTAGCAGTTTACCTCCTTGCAAGCAAACAGCAAGAAGAAACAGCTCCTTTCAGCTTCAGCACAGCCTAATTAGCACAAGTTGATTGGATCGGCCTCCCGACTCTCAGCTGTTTTGCTCGGGCCTCTGCTGCTTGCTGCAAGGAGGTAAATTGCTGGGAGCAGATTTTTTTTTTCCCCCTTGTGCTAATCAAGCTATGCTGAAAACGAAACTGAAAGTAAAGCAGGCTGTTTGCTGCAAGGAGGCAAAATTGCTGGGAGGCAGAGGCAGATTTCTTTTTCTTCTTTTCCTCACCAAAAAAGGTAGGTGCGTCTTATACTCCGGTGTGTTTTATACTCCGAAAAATACGGTATGTATGTACACACACACACCAGTGGTAAATTCAGCCAGTTCTATCTGGACCGTGCGATCCGGTAGCAACTGCCAGCGGGAAGCTCTGCCCACTCGCCCGGACGTCATCACGTCCCGTTTTTAACCCTCTGCGCATGAACAGAGGCGCGAGTGTAGCGAGCACGCTCACATTTGCAAACAGGTAGCTAAGGTAAGTGAATATCACCCCTCACACTCACACACACACACACACACACACACACACACACACCTGTGCTCACTGGGGAATTCTGGGAGTTGAACTCCACACCTCTTAAACTTATCAAGGTTTGCAAGGTCATCTCCACCATTTCCCATCCTGACCATATAGGAGGTCTTAAGTGCAGGGGATGGCTGGCTTCCAGGCCATTACTTAAGCCGGGCGACAGGCATAATAAAGGGGGAATTTGGCTTTTTATGGCACTCACCCCCTTCTTATTTTTACAGAGTGGTTCTTTGAGTTTGGCTTCGTCATCCCAAATTCCACCAACACCTGGCAGTCTTTGATAGAAGCAGCTCCGGAGTCGCAAATGATGCCAGCTAATGTTCTCACGTGAGTGATTGCGTTTCTCATTCGCACAACCCCAGATCGGAGTCAGTGACCTCCCAGAACGCGGAGAGGGCAGGCAGGATCCCAATTCAGATGCTGAGGTGTCCGTTCTGCAGCTGAAGTCGGCTCCAAGCGGAATCCTCTGGCTCCCATCGGCGGTGAAGTTTGCAGAGGAGCAGCCCTGAATTTTCAGATTATTATTATTATTATTATTATTATTATTATTATTATTATTATTATTATTATTATTGTAGTGGGGAAGGAGTTGCCAAGCATCCCGGCTTGAATTCATAGCTTTTTTTTTTTTTAATTTGATTTATATGCCGCCCTTCTCCGGAGACTCAGGGCGGCTTACAATGCATTAAGCATTAGATTTCATACTTTTGTATATTTATACAAAGTCAGCTTATTGCCCCCACAACTGGGTCCTCAATTTACCTACCTTAGAAAGGATGGAAGGCTGAGTCAACCTTGAGCCTGGCAAGATTCGAACCTGCAGTAATTGCAGGCAGCTGGTCTTAATAACAGGGTGCTTTAGACCACTGTACTACCAAGGCTCAAGCTTGAGCTTCACCTGATTTTTATTTTATTTTTTTTATTTTTATTTTTTTTTTAAATGGAGGTTATCGTATCTGAAATTACAAATGAAAATAAAGACAATAGGAAAATGGAAAGCGAGACAGGAAGAGGGAGGGATGAGGGGGAAGAAGAATCATTGGCTTCCAACTTTTTTTTGCAGGGCAGTAAAATACAAAATAAAATTATAGCCTCCGCTTTTCGCTTTGCATATTTGAGGTTGGCTCATTCAGGCTTGAAATGATCAATTCTTTTGGAAATGATCATTTGGAGCCTGGCTGGCCAGCTTCCACAATCCCTGGCTCCAGCAAGACATTTGAGCTTTTTGTTTGTTTGTTTGTTCATTCGTTCATTCAATCATTCATTCATTCATTCAGTTTCTATAGCCGCCCATTGCCACCAATGACTCAGGACAGCTTACAGTGCTAAAGCTATAAAAACAATTAATACGATAAAAAAAACCATTTAAAACAATAAAAACATGTAAAATAAACATAGACAGCAATCGAAATGGTCAACCAGTTAGCAGTTTGGTGTAGTGGTTAAGGTGCTGGTTTAGAAACCAGGAGACGGTGCATCCTAGTTCTGCCAAGGATGAAAGCCAACTGGGTGACTTTGGACCCATCACCAGGTAGCTGGGAGTTCATTTATTTTATTTATTTATTTGTTCAACTTGTATGCCGCCTTTCTCCGAAGACTCAAGGCGGCTTACAATGTGTTTAAAAACCATATATTAAAACATTAAAAATTAAAACATTAAAAACAATTAAAAGCCCATTCACACCATTCATGGCCGGATCTCGCCAGATCGCAAGAGCGAGATCAACGGCCCCAGGCCTGCCGGAAAAGCCAGGTCTTCACCGCCTTTCGGAAGGCCAGTAGGGTGGGGATGGTCCGGATCTCAGGAGGTAACTGGTTCCAGAGACCTGGGGCAGCCACAGAGAAGACCCTCCCCCACGGGCCTGCCAGCCGGCATTGTTTAGCTGACGGGACCCGGAGGAGACCAACTCTGTGGGATCTTACTGGTCGCTGGGAGTTAGGCGGTAGAAGGCGGTCTCGAAGATAGCCTGACCCTGAGCCATGTAGGGCTTTAAAGGTAATAACCCACACCTTGAATTGTGACCGGAGACCAATAGGGAGCCAGTGCAGCTCGCGGAGAATTGGTGTGATGTGGGTGTATCTAGGTGCACCCACAACAGCTCGCGTGGCTGCGTTCTGGACTAACTGTAGTCTCCGAACACTTTTCAAGGGTAGCCCCATGTAGAGCGCGTTGCAATAATCTAACCATGAGGTGACAAGGGCATGAGTGACCATGAGGAGAGCCTCCCTACCAATTGTGTAGGGTCACAATTGGTGCACCAGGCGAACTTGTGCAAAGGTCCCCCTAGCCACAGCCATCAGATGTTGCTCTAATCTTAGCTGTGAGTCTGGGAGGACGCCCAAATTGCGAGTCCGTTCTGAGGGGGACAGTTTCTCCCCCCCAGAACCAAGGATGGACAAGCAACATAGTCTTTAGGAGGCAATACCCACAGCCACTCGGTCTTGTCTGGGTTAAGTCTGAGTCTGTTGACTCCCATCCAGACCCTCACAGCCTCCAGGTTCTAGTCCTGCCTTAGGCATGAAAGCCAACTGGGTGACTTTGGACCCATCACCAGGTGGCTGTGAGTTCTAGTCCTGCCTATGGCATGAAAGCCAACTGGGTGACTTTAGACCCATCACCAGGTGGCTGTGAGTTCTAGTCCTGCCTATGGCATGAAAGCCAACTGGGTGACTTTAGACCCATCACCAGGTGGCTATGAGTTCTAGTCCTGCCTTAGGCATGAAAGCCAACTGGGTGACTTTGGACCCATCACCAGGTGGCTGTGAGTTCTAGTCCTGCCTATGGCATGAAAGCCAACTGGGTGACTTTAGACCCATCACCAGGTGGCTGTGAGTTCTAGTCCTGCCTATGGCATGAAAGCCAACTGGGTGACTTTAGACCCATCACCAGGTGGCTGTGAGTTCTAGTCCTGCCTATGGCATGAAAGCCAACTGGGTGACTTTAGACCCATCACCAGGTGGCTGTGAGTTCTAGTCCTGCCTATGGCATGAAAAGCCAGCTGGGTGACTTTAGATCCATCACCAGGTGGCTGTGAGTTCTAGTCCTGCCTATGGCATGAAAAGCCAGCTGGGTGACTTTAGACCCATCACCAGGTGGCTGTGAGTTCTAGTCCTGCCTATAGCATGAAAAGCCATCTGGGTAAGTCTGGACCGGTCATTCTCTCTCAGTCCAACCCACCTCACAGAGTTGTTGTGGTGATGGTGAAAATAAGAGGAGAGAAGGTGCATTTGCCACCTTGAGTTGTCTATAAATTAATAAAGGCAAGAGAATAAAAATCAAAATAAATAACAGTAAAGCCCTTAAGCACATTCAGAGGCCCCGGCTCAGCCCCACTGCCCAGTTTTAAAGCCTTAAATGTCCTCCTTCTGCCATTTCACATTTTTTTTTCTTCCCCGGTTCCTTTCCTTCTGCTCCCTTCTCTCCCTCTGCAGCGGGAACGTGATCATAGAAACCAAGTTTTACGACGACGACCTCCTCGTCAGCACTTCCAGAGTAAGACTGTTCTACGTTTGAGAGAAGGCCGGGGCAGGGCTCGGGCCTGGCTTAGTTCCTCCCCACACCTGATTCCCCGGGGGCCGAATCCCCAATTTCTCCCTCAAGGTGTCCAGTGACGGAAGACTTTTTTAGGAGGTCTGGAGCATGGCGAGACTCGTGCCCTTGACCCATCCTTCTCTTGCCCTCTTGCCCCGGACCAGGCCACGCTGCAACCCCTTGTAGCCATCTGCTCGGATATTGGGAAAGGGAGGAAGGGGAGAAGGACTTTTTGGGGGGGGCACCCCCATGGGCAAGAAAGATCAATGTTGTAAATGGGATTTAGAGGGTTTTTTTGTTTTGTTTAGATCTATCTATGTCTCCATACTTAAGTCATCTTCTTGGCAGGCTGTCTGTCCACTCCATTTCTTCATTGTCTCTTTACTTCTTTTTAAGATTTACCTATTCGGCTCCTCTTTCTTTCTTTCTTTCTTTCTTTCTTTCTTTCTTTCTTTCTTTCTTTCTTTCTTTCTTTCTTTCTTCTTTCTCTCTCTCTCTCTCTCTCTCTCTTTCTTTTTTTCCCCTTCTCTCTCCATTTTTTAATTCCGACACTCCTCTCAGTTTAACTGGTCCAGACTCATTTCTTCCACCGTCCCGTTTCCTTGAACTTGTAAAATAGACTGCAATATTCTTACATAATGTAATTAAAAAATAAATAAATTTCTGATTGAAAAGCAAACACTCCTGAGTTTATTCCGGGGGTTACGTTTTTCCGGTGGGTCCACGAAAATAAGCACCAAATGATTCGAACTTCAGGTTTTCCAGCTTTGTCCTTGGCCTGGTGTGTGTTCCGGATTCCTGGACAGAATGCAGAGAGGAAACTTTGCCATCGATTGTTCCCTGCAAGGCCAAGGTTGGCCTGCTTATTTCCAAGAATTAAGGATGATATGACAGCAATCTTAAGTATGCAGTGGAGTAGCCTTGGGGTACTCAAGCCCAGGACTTGTCAACATCTTCATCAACGATTTGGACGAGGGGATAGATGGGGAACTCATCAAATTTGCAGATGACACCGAGCTGGCAGGAATAGCCAACACTCCGGAAGATAAGGCTTAAAATACAGAAGGATCTTGATAGTCTTGAACATTGGGCGCTATCTAACAAAATGAAATTCAAGGGTGAAAAAAGGAAGGTTCTATATTTAGGCAAGAAAAACCAAATGCACAGGTATAGTATAGGACTATAGGTGGTACCTGGCTCAATAGTAGTAACTGTGAGAGGGATCTTGGAGTCCTAGTGGACAACCATTTAGATATGAGCCAGCCGTGTGCAGCAGCTGCCAAAAAAGCCAGCACATTCTAGGCTGCATTAACAGAGGGATAGAATCAAAATCATGTGAAGTGTTAATGCCACTTTATAAGGCCTTGGTAAGGCCACACTTGGAATATTGCATCCAGTTTTGGTCCCCACGATATTAAAAAAGATGTTGAGACTCTGGAAAGAATGCAGAGAAGAGCAACAAAGATGATTAGGGGACTGGAGGCTAAAACATATGAAGGACGGTTGCAGGAACTGGGTATGTCTAGTTTAATGAAAAGAAGGACCAGGGGAGACATGATAGCAGCCTTCCAAGATCTCAGGGGCTGCCACAAAGATTTGGGGGTCAAGCTATTCTCCAAAGTACTTGAGGGTAGAACAAGAAGCAATGGGTGGGAACTAATCATGGAAAGAAGCAACTTGGAACTAAGGAGAAATTTCTTGACAGCTAGAACAATTTATCAGTGGAACGACTTGCCTCCAGAAGTTGTGAATGCCCCAACACTGGAGGTTTTTAAGGAGATGTTGGATAACCATTTATCTGAAGTGGTGCAGGGTTTCCTGCCTAAGCAGGGGGTTGGACTAGAAGACCTCCAAGGTCCCTTCCAACTCTTCTCTTCTCTCCTCTTCTTTTCTCTTTTCTTCTGTCCTCCCCTCTCCTCTCCTCTCCTCTCCTCTCTTCTCTTTTCTCTTCTCTCCTCTCTTCTCCTCTCCTCTTTTCTCTTCTTTTCTCTTTTCTCTTCTCCCCTCTCTTTCCCTTCCAATATCTATTCTATTCTATTCTATTCCTCTTCTCTAAATCAATGGAGCTGGGGGTTTTCTTTCTTGAGTTTTGAACGGAGACAGGCCTGATACGTTTGTTTAGTGACGGTTCAAAGTCACAAAAGCACTGAAGTAACTTGCAACCAGTCCTCACGCTTACAACTGTCGGCAGCCTCCTTGTGGTCACATGATCAAAATCCGGGCACTTAGCAGCTGGCATGCATTGACAAGCCAACCCAAGAATTTACGTGATTTGCGGTCTTCCCAGCTGGCTTCCGACAAACAAAGCCAACAGGAGAAGATGGATTCACTTAACCACCGCGTGATTCACTTAACAACTCTGGCAAAAATGGGTCGTAAAATAGGGCGCGAGTCACTTAAGGACCTCCTTGCTTAGCAACAGAAGTCCCGGTTCCCAATTGCGGTCGTTAACTTAAGGACTACCTAAACGATCACCCATCTCAATAAAATATAATCAAATCGGAAAGGCCGGGAGGGACCTTGGAGGTCCTCTAGTCCAACCCCCTGCTCAAGGAGGAGACCCTGTTTCATTTCAGACAAGGGGCTGCCTTTAATGGGAGTCTAATCTTCAATTAGAAGAATGAAATTAGAAGAATGACCACGAAAGGCTGTGATTTGGTCAGCTGCAGTCTGGCATCTCAACTCCTCCATACCACAAATCTGCCTGCTCGGAAGGAAAGCAGAAAGCAGCCGAGGCTCAGCTAAGTATCTGACACATTTACACACACACTTAACCTACTAGTGAGCTGGGTGTCAGGATTTCAAGTAACACCCCCAACGAAAGAAGACTCCGAGGCTAGAGGTTCCGTTTTATTAGCGATGTCCTATTGGCACATCTGGGAAAACCCGAATCGGAAAGCTTCCAGGTTTCCCCCCACCCAAAGGAAAGTCCAAGTCCCTTCCCCTGCACTCACATGTCCATCACATGGTCCAATCATTGCACCGTCCCAACTGGAGATGCCTCCCAGTAACGTCACTCCAGGTGCAGGGCAAGATGTCCTTGACTCTCAAAGAAAAGAATGTTGTTATGGCTAGATATTTCTCCACTCCATACAATCAGGGCTAGTGTTAGAGATTCGGGTTAATGTCAGGGTTCCAAGGAACACCCCCAACGAAATAAAGCTCTGAGGTTCCTCAAAGTTCCAATTTATTAGAGATGTCATGTTGGCACATCTGGGAAAACCCGAATCTGAAAGCTTCCAGGTTCTGAAAGCTCATCACATTGTCCAATCAACTTTTCACACTCCACCAGATCAGTGGTGGGTTCCTCCCGGTTCGGTCCGGTTCGGCCGAGCCGGTAGCGGTGACGATATGACGTCACTGAACCGGTTCTCCCCCCCCCGCCCTCCCACCCCCCCCACGTTATTCTTACCTTTTATTTGGTCCCACCCCCAATCTATTGCTGCCTCCTGAGTCCCAGCTGATCACTAGAGGGAAAAAAAACTGTTTAAACTCTTGCTGCAAAGGGCTGTCCTACAGCTGATCAGTGTTAAAAGCAAACAAATGAGTCGGGTCGTAAGTGCGAGGACTGGTCGTAAGTGTGAGGACCTTCCAGAAATGACTCTGACCAGCTAGCCACGCCCACCTAGTCACATGACCTCCAAACCACACCCACAAAATAAGCCACGCCCACAGAACCGGTAGTAAAAAAAATTAGAACCCACCCCTGCACCGGATACAATCTTCAGGCAGTCTCCATCAGACGCAGGCAAAAGTCCTTGAAGACGGAATGTTGTTTGGACTAACTTTCTACCGTTCCAACAACAACCCATTCCCAACTTCCCCAGCTAAAATATGTGGCAGTTTAGAAGCAAAAAAAGAAAATTGCCTTCCAAAACTGACAGGTGGAATTCACTTACCTTCCTTACCGGTTCGCAAATGTGTCCACGGCCACACATGTGCCCAGACTTCCACGCATGCCCTTTGCTCGCACGCACGGCTCGCACGCATGCGCGCGGCTAAAAACATGCCTAAATAGGATGGCATAAAGCCTCAGGTGGGCGGCGATTTCCGCTACCAGTTTGGGTGAATTGGTCCGAACCGGCTGAATGCCGCCTCTGCCTACAATCCCCCCTCCCAGTTCCCGACAGCGCTAATTATGGCAGCCCTGAAGATCCAAAATAAAAGATGGCTTCCAGGACTGACACTGGGCTTGAATTTTATTTATTCTTTTTAATAATTTTTAATTAAACATTTCTTCAAAAAACGAAAAAAGACTTTGAATTTTAGCATGCAAGAGTGAAACCATCCTTCTCCCGCTGTCCGACTACAATTCCTTTGGCTCTATTAACACGTAAAAGGGTAAAGGAGTCCGTACAGATTTTACTCCACTAAATCGTTGCCGATTCTAGGGACCCATCTCCCGTTTCAAGGCCATTGATCCAGCGCTGTCCGAAGACATTTCTGCGGTCCGCATGACATCATGGATCTCTGTTACCTTCCCACCAAAGTGGTACCTATTTATCTTCTCGCATTCGCATGCTTTCGAACTGCTAAGTTGGCAGGAGCTGAGGCGAGGACGGGAGCTCAGCCCGATTCATGGCACCCAGGTCTCGAACCTGGTCTGCAGGCTTTCCAGCTGACAAGCCCAGCGCCTTAACCGCTGAGCCACTATGCCGCCCCTCTATTAATACACGGGGCGAAAACAGATTATAAATAGTCCTTGTGTTAGGACAGCAATTGGCTAGCCCAGTTGCTGTCGTAACCGCAAGACGTGCAGGTTATTAAGTGGGAAATGGGGGGAATCCCAGGTAAGGAGTAGGAGCTACTGCGGAGGGGGGAGGGAATTGATTATTATCTGTTCATTAGCATCCTTTAGCATCCCCAATTTGCGGTTGGCACCTCTTTCTGAATTCAGAGATTTTTTTTTGAAGACTTAAAGCTACCAAACATGTAAAAGGAGATGTCCGGTAGAGCCACCTTGTGAGAACTTAATCTTTAATTGTTTTGCCGCCTTCTCCAATTTCTCACCCTCACCATGTCTTACGCTGAAAGATCTTATTCGGAACAGACCAGGGATCTCCAAACTTGGCCACTGTAAGACTTGTGGACTTCAACTCCCAGAATTCCCCAGCCAGCATGGGGAATTCTGGGAGTTGAAATCCACAAGTCTTAAAGTGGCCAAGTTTCAACAGCCCTGAGATAGACAACAAGCTGATGGGAACTAATTTCTGAGGTCCTCCTCCTTCTCTAGTGAAGAGAAGGACCAAAGGGAGACATGATAGCAGTGGTCCAAGATTTGAGGGGCTGCCATAGAGAGGAAGGGGGTCAAGCTATTTTCCAAAGCACAAGAAAGAAAGAAAAAGAAAGAAAGAAAAGAAGGAAGGAAGGAAAGAAAGAAAAAAGAAGGAAGGAAGGAAGGAAAGAAAAAAGAAGGAAGGAAGGAAAGGAAGGAAGGAAGGAAAGAAAGAAAGAGAAAGAAAGAAAGAAAGAAAGAAAGAAAGAAAGAAAGAAAGAAAGAAAGAAAGAAAGAAAGAAAGAAAGAAAGACAGACAGACATCTGAGTGAACCATGGATGGACAGAAGACATGGCTAGTCTAGTGAAGAGAAGGACCAGGGGAGACATGATAGCAGCCTTCCAATATTTGAGGGGCTGCCACAGTGAGGAGGGGGTCAACCTACTATTTTCCAAAGCACAAG